TATATCATATTCATGGGTACAACTATGTAAATACAACCTAGAAAATCATCAGACCTAGGGGTGATCTTGGGGTCCTGACATTTCCTACTTTTCTCCCTGAAAAGAGGAAGAAAAAAGAAAAAAAAAGTATTTTTCAAAAATGATTGCTCCTATCCCACATCTCTTAAAAATGTGATTCTGAAATTCTTCCCACTGGGAGGAAGAATCTGTTACCTACCTTAGAATCTGAGCAATCTGTACCTGCTGCATGTGATGCCATGTGACTTTTGAGGTTAGATATTAAAATACACATATTATATATGTATATACATGAATATATACATATATGTACATAAACATATATTTATAATATAAATAGAAATAGAAATATTAGATATAATTATGAATATTATATAAATATTTGTATCTTCTTCTTGCCTTACTTTGTGGAGTGCTCATCCTCAGAATTTAGTCGCCATGTTGTGAGGAAGTCCAAGTGAATGCACAGGGAGGAGCTGTATAATTGTTCCAGCCAACAGCCCAGCTGAGATGCCAGCAGACATCCCACACAATGTGTAGGTGGAATAAGAGAAGCCTTCAGCCTCCATCTAGTCAGTCCCAACTTTCAAGTCTTCCTAGAAAGACTCTGGACATTGTTAGAGCATAGAGGTGCTGTCTTTACTGTACTCTGTCCAAATTCCTGACCCAAAGAATCTGGAGACATAAGTAAATGGCTGTTGTTTCATACTACTATATGTAGGTGGTTTATTATACAGCAAAAGTAATGACAACTCTTTCTTAGATGACACCCAGCTTATCAATAGAGGGATGTAACTTGGCATCTCAGTGCCAGAGGAGGAAGAACAGTTTTACATATGTTTTCAGCCTGTCCCTGTATCTAGAGTGATGCTGTGGTCTTCCTGGTGTTCTTTTCCTTGCTGTCGTTAGTGACTAACGTGTGGATGTTGTAATTAGCAGTCTCTCTCTCTGGGCTTGTCAGAAGGCATGCCTGGGATTACTCAAACTCTTTTCCACTGCCCTACTCTACACCCCACAGAAGCCTATGTGACCCCTTCAGTCCCAGTTCCAGGGTTCAGCTCTGGAGCCCCTATTAGTACCTCTTTCTGCAGACTTGCAGTGCTTCTCGAATGTATCTATGACACAGGACACTGAAAGTGGCTCAGTACAGATGAATCTTAGAGGCTCCTTCTGCCTTACTATTCCAAGAAACTGAAAGGGAAACTTGAATGGTGATGCATTTCAAGAGTCCTTAACAGGAATGGGGCTAGGAGACTCCCTCTGTCTTTCTGCCATTATTCTTATTTACCTAATGCACTACTCTCTGTCCCAGATGAAGAGACTTTGCTTGATTAAAGAAGAATGGAAAAATAGGAAAATATATTGCCTCTTTCTGCTGTTCTGCTTTTCTTTACTTCTTTGATTCCCTATGTAGACTCCTTCCAATTGTTCTTCTGTCTCTAACTCTTACCTCAGCCTTCAGTGCTAAGGAATTTTCTCTACACACTTTTAGAATTCCATGTTCTGATCCTTAATCACTGATATTCTAAAGTCCTCAAGATTGTTAGTTGAATTACAAGGCTATCATCTTGCTAGGAAAAAAAAAATCCTATTTTGCATGTTAGAAGCTGATACTACTTTTCTCTTTGGTTGGCATTTTTCCTGAAACAAATTTAGTTTTCTTCTTGGGCAAGTGAGTGGTTATGTACACTGAAAGGAGGAAAACATATTATTAATATTCAAAATTTCCCTCTTTTATTGGTGATATACCACGTTACTTGCTTTTCCTGAGCTCTCAATATCCCATCTTGGCCCTGGGTATGAGCTGCAGTCAGTATTAAGTTTCTGTAAGATTATTCTTATTGCACTCTGCTTTTTAAATATTCTATTTTATGTTCTTTTAATTCAATCCTGGAAAGCATACTTGCTCTGCTTCCTTATGATGAATTATATCCTCCAGAGTCCTACTGCTTTGTTCTTCTTTCTGTTTACCTATTCCATATTTGCATCCTTCCGATTCCTGGCTGTCTGCTTCATCACAAAGTAGCTGTTCTCCTGTACTCTTACTTTTTATATATGCCCTACTCTCTTGGTCTTCACTCATTTCCTTGCTCTGATTTGGAGTTGCTTAGTCTTCCCATATTGCTTCACTTACCATATTCTGGTACATGTTAGGATATCTAGGAAGTTGCACAAAACCCAGCTCTGATTGAATCAAGCAAAAATAGCGATTCACTGGCTCACATGATTTCAAACATCAAACAAGAAAGAATTAATATGGCGTCGCATGTTTCTTTCTGATTCTCTTCTGCCTTTTAAGCTGTTGATTTCATGCTATAGTAGTTGTAGGAGGGCTGGCAATAGCAACCTAGGGTTGATGCTTCCTCATTTACAGCTAATTGTGGGAAAAAGAATTCTTTCACATAAACTATTGAACAAAAGTCCTGGGATTTAATCTGTTTGAACAGAGTCAAGCCCCATGCCTAATCCTGAACCCATTAGTATTTCTGAGATGATGCCAATTTTCTTAGGCTAATTAGACTCTGTCCCTAGGCCTGGCACTGGGTTCACTCCTACTCAAACTGTCTGGAAACTGTACATTAAGAAATGGGAAAAGTGTTCACTGGTACCAAAAAAAAAAAAAAAAAAAAAAAAGAAAAGAAAGAAATGGGAAAAGTGGATCAAGGGGAGTGTTAACTGTTTGCACCAGTTGATTAACTTCTTGTTTTCCTAACTCAGTGTTCCCAGACTTTACTCTGATAACTTGAAGGGGAGTATTTATGCCACAGAGATTGGCAAACGTTACATATTAGCTTTTTTGTTTGTTTGTTTATAGCAAAGTTTTCAAATCATTTTAATACCTACCTTTTTATGGGATAAAAGTAGAGATGGTTTACTGATACACCACCAATAATAGGAAGCACTCAGTGTAATTTGTGTCAGCAGGCAGCAGTCAGTCTCTTCACTAGTGTTTCTGACTCCAGAATTGCCCCCCTCAGGGTATTCATTTTTTAAAAATAACAGCCTTACTGCGATATAATTCCTCCTACCATAAAATCCACCCCTTTTATAGTGTATGATTATCTGGTTTTTAAATATATACAGGGTTTTCAAACATCATCATAATCAGTTTCATCACCCCAAAATGAAACGCCAGTCCCATTAATAGTCTTATTCTTCCCCCAACCTTTTATTTCCTGGTAAGTACTAGTCCTCTTTCTTGTCTCTGTGTATTTGCCTGCTTTAGATTTTTATATACAAAATCATGTGGTCTTTTTGTTTTAGCTTCTTTCTCTTAGCAAACTGTTTACAAGATTCATCCACATGGCAGCACATTATTGGTATTTTATTTCTCCTGGAATCAAATAATTTTTCACTGTATATGTAAGCCACATTTTTATCCCTTTATAAATTGATTTGAATTATTGAATCCAATTATAATCACAGTTCTTGGATCCAGTCTTTTCCACTTCTAGTATTTAGTACTTCTGCTGCCAGAATTGTTTTCCTAAAACATTTTTTCTTATCACTCAAGTCATAAAAATATATTTTCCTGTCTGCCTAGGAGATACTAAAGGGACACAATTGAACTTACAGTAGAAATTCTCTTTAGTTTGACCCCAGTAGGAAAGAGAATGAGGAAACGCCGCCTTCTTCCTCAGTTTGGGCCAGTGATACTCAAGTCTTATTTTTAGTTTTGCCAGTGCTGAGGATTGGCCTTGGGTATGCAAGGCAAGCACTATACTAAGCCACAGTCTCAGGCCTCAAATCTCTGCCTGACTGACCAACTACCTGGCCAACCAACCAAATCAACCAACCTACCACAAAGACCAAAGAAATAGCCAAAAGCAAAGTCCAAACTATATAAAATAGTGGCATGAACATTATTTAGCTTTATGATTATATAGTCCATATTTCTTTTCATCTCCTAATTATAAAAAATTTCTGGAGAGAAAATGACTTTCAGCCAGACCAATCTAATTCATCATCCTAGCTTAGTCACTTATTATTGGTTTTCTTTAAATTCTCTCCTTCTGAGCTTTTAGGCAAATTATCTTTTCTTATGTGAAAAATAGGGGTAAAATTTCATACCTCAGAGTCCAGGTATGGATTAAAAGACATAAGCCCTAAAGTACTGTGACCAACCCATAATAGTCACTCAATAGACAAATGAACACTATTATGGTTGAACATATGGTTAAATTTTTCAATTATTTTTGACAAAACCAATCTAAGATTGAAACTACTTTGATGTTCTTTCATCATTTTATAGCTTTGGTGATCTAATTTCAGTATTGGCATAGTGCTTTAAAAGTAGAACCAATTTAAGCAGAAATTAGATAATCAGTTAGAAGGCTTTATGTTCCATGTCTTCCATCACCCCTAGTATAATCTGAAAGAATCAATGTTTTCTTTGGGAAATGGTCAATGATAATGTCTTGTTTTTATTACAATGAAGCTTTCATGAAATGGCTTTAAGTATAAACATCTTAAACTCTACTGGATTTTGTTGAAGTAAATGTCTCATAGGAATGAATCATAGAGCTTGGCATTTTCCATTGTTTTGGTAAGTCTGACTTGGTACCACTTATTAAAGATGTAACTCAATATATCGTTCTTTGGAATGACTCTATGTTAACAACCAGAAAAGGATGTTGAATGGTAGTTAAGTTGTAATTATTTTGGTCTTATTTAGATGATCATAAAATTTAAATTGCTTTTTATGCTGTGTCTTTTGCATATAGGAAAAGCTTTTACATGTGTAGCAGTTTATCTTTTTAGTTTAATAAATAAAACAGCCGTGAGTTAGATTCTTCTTTCAGGAGTTGAAATACTTATAAATGCAGTGGCTACTTTTTTCATCGAGGCATTTACTGAAAAACCAAATTAATCAATTCTTGAAAATCTGCCTTTGATCACAGAAATATTATGATCAACTTTTGAAACATATCTTTTTACATATTTTAGTCATCAGATGTTATTTCTTTTTTTTCTCCCTCTAGGGTTATGCCTGTCAAGACGATTACTCAATAGTCCACAGAAAGTGCCGTTCTCAGTTCACAGATCTAGATGGTTCCAAAAGATTTGGCATAAACACTTGGCATGATGAGAGTGGGATTTATGCTAATTCAGATGTGAAACAAAAACTCTATGCATTGACTGGTGGTCCCATTGTCCCCATTTAAAATAATACAAGAATCATTCTGTAATGCAAGAATAATGGGTGTTAATGATTTCCTGTATTAATAAATGCAATGAAAGTAGGTTCCTTTAAACTCAGAATCTTACGTTCTAGACCAGTGTTTATATTTTTATTTTCATAAACTACCCAGGTGTTTTCTAAAATTTGTTATTTAGCAGTCAGGCTTATGATTGCTTGGCATGTGGCTAATTTTTAAAAAGCGAAGCAATTTAAATTCTATTTAAAGAAATATTTTTCCTTTTAAAAAATTTGACTCACATGTAGTAATTGTACTTATTTATGTTTTACCCCTATGATATTTCAATAGAAGTATACAAGAGAAAGAGGAGGGAAGAAAGAGAGAGAAAGGAGAGAAGGAAGAGGGGAGATAAAAAAGGAGGAAGAGAGGAAAAGGCATGGGAGAGGGGAGAGAAAAGAGAGAGAGATTTGGGGTATCTATTTATAGATTTTTAATTTTCTGTGGGCTCTCATTGCACTGTATTTATTCTGTATTTCTTATTCCAGATAAATTCTTTTGAGTCGGTGGGATAGCAGGGAGGCAGACAATGAAATTTTAGTGAAACTTTAGGGGTTTGATGGGAAATCCAGTCATCCAGTATTAGATTTGGAGGTTGTCATAATACCTTTTCTGACTTACCTCTCGTTTTCCAGGAGAGCAAACAGCAGCTCACAGAAATTGAAGCAAGTTGTTATGTTGGTCACCAGGGGCTACCGTAACAAATGCCATAGACTTGGTAGCTTAAAACCAGAAATGTATTTTTCCACAGTTTTGGAGGTTGAAAAAATCCAAGATCAAATTTCTGGCAGGCTTAGAATAGGTAGTTATAATTGTATTTACCCTACTGTGCTATAGAAAGAACACTAGAATTTATTCCTCCTTTCTAACTATGTTTTAGTTTCCGGCAAGGGCTCTATTTCTGGTGATTGGCTTTGTCACCTTATTGTCAGAGAAGGGTAGAACAGGAAGATCTCTTTCTCTACCTCTTTTTCTAAGGCTACGACACTCTTAGATTAGTTCTCCACCCTTATGACCACAGTTAACCTTAATTACCTCCTAAAAACGTCACATTGGGGGTTAAAATTCCAACATATAAATGTGGGGAAGACATAATCTTCTCCATAGCAGTTGCTCAAGATTATAAAAATAGTAGATTCTGGTTGATCTTTGAGATGTATTAGAATTTTTATTTCCTTTCAGGATGAGTTCAATTGTTTAATCAACCTGGGCTTCATGTGCTCTCATTGTTTTTCTTTAAAAATTATTTCATAAAATAGTACTTCATGACAAATGCTAATTAAGCACTGCTTCCAAGTTTTGATCGATAAGATATGGGAAAGACTGTAAGCTTTATGAGGTGAGAAATGATAATTAATTTTAAAATGTGGTATGACAGGTAAGTATTCACCAGCAGAATTTTACTATAATTTCTTACTGCATTAGAGAGTGTCTGGATATACATACAATATATACGTTATATATACAGAAGCATGTATATTATGTGTGTTAAAATATATATCTATACAGTCTATATAATGTTAATTCTTTATATATATGCTATTCTAGTGGATATTTAACTAGAATTACCTTTCCTTCCACACACTACAATTCAAGTTCAGCCATCTGTAATATCTATTAACATATCTAGGGTGAAGTGTACTTTGAAGTATGCAAATACTTCAATTCTGAGTGCTATTTATCTTTTGATAATTTATTTTCATGGGCAAAATGTTTTAATGGCCACATCATTACCTTTGAACTATGCATGGTACCTAGAAAATAAAATTCACCTACTTTAGCAGACATTCTGTAGTGCTTCAGTGACTGACATTGCACTTTGTATAGGTGACCTACCTAGCTAGGTCTGCTACTAAGAATCAACTTAGAAATTGGTTTTGGTTTGGGTTAGTGAAAGAATGAAATAAGGGCAATTGTATGTAAGCAAGTCAAGGAAAGTGATTCACTGAAGTGAAAATTACAGTAGGGGGTTGCCCATGCCTCCAGTTTAGTTGCTTTTAGTGGCTGAATGTATAAATTTCAGGATCTAATAAACTATACATTACTTTGAAACCTAGATTATTATTACTACTCTCTTTTAGAACTAGGGATTGAATTCAGCTACATTTCACAATGAGCTGCATTCCCATCCCTTTAAATTTTTTTTTTTTTTAATTTTGTGACAGGGGCTTGCTAAATTCCCAGGCTGGGCTAAAACTTGCAATTCTCCTGCCTCAGCCTCTCAGAGCACAGGTGTGCACCACCATACTTGACTTGATAGCTCTATCTTTGAGGTAAAAGAATTCTGTATTAATATTGATTTCTTTGGTTAAGTATTTTAATGGTTCATATCACCAGTAACAAAGATCATTTCAAACAAAAACCAGAACTTAGATTTGACCATTGATGTTATGGGATATATCTCATGTTTTCACAGGTGAGGCTTTTGGAAGTGACTGGATGATGGGTGTGTGATACTGGATTAGTCTACTGTTTAGCTTAGTATAGTTCTGGGTGTGGATGATGGACTTACTGAAAAGGGAAAATCCACCTTGCACGTGGCTGGCAACAGTCAATAGTCTATATTTTCCCTAATAGGGAAAGAATGAAGAAGTTGCTCTGCTCCCTGCCTGCCATGCCATGAACTCTTCCCTTCTGGTGTGCTGCCCTGCCATGGAACCAGCCAACTTCTCTCTGTAAACTATCAGTTAAATAAACCTTTCCTCTTTTAACTTGTGGGTGTTGGGTATTTTGTCACAGGAACCAGAAAGTAACTAAAGCAATTGGAGAAAGTCCTTTGTAGGGAGGGATCTCACTGCTTCCTGACTAGTGAATACCTATACTTCACAGAATTCTACCTAAGAATTATTTTCCATGGTTTTGATTACAGATATCTTAGTGGGCATGATTTGGTGTCTTGTGGTTTTGATTTGTATTTCCATAATGACTGATGATATGGGGTATTTTTTATGTGTTTATTTGCCACATTTATATCTTCTTTAGTGAGGTCTTTAGTTACATCCCTTGCCTCTATTTAATTGTGTTCTTTATCTTTTAAGATAACCTTTTATAATGATTTTCAAAAAAGTAGAACACAGTCTGGAAAAATGATTTTTACTTAGGCTTAAAAAGCAATGTGAATCCAATATTTGAATTTTTGTTTCAAAGCAACAGTTGGAAACAGAGTCCTGGAAGATCTCAGAGTAAGAGCTATCATGTGGGAGTTGATGGTATGTGTGCATTTAGTCAGTGACTTTGGTAATGATAAGGATGATGCAATAGCTGAATAAAAGAATATTGAGAGCATTCATAAAATGCTGGGTGAATGCATTCTTTTTTTTTTTTTTTTTGGTTTTTTGAGACAGGGTCTCACTATGTAGCTGAGACTGAACTGGAACTCACTATGTAGCCCAGGCCGGTCTTGAACTCACAGTGATCCTCCTGCCTTAGCCTCCCAAGTGCTGGGATTACAGGTGTGAGCCACCACACCTGGCTCATTCTTTAGTTTTTAATCACATAGTTGTACTTTCCATTTGTTAGTAACTTCAGACTTGATTCTCCAGGAATCAAGTTCATCTCATTTTTCACTCTTCCCACTGCTAAATTGTCCGCACTGAACAGCAAATCTTAGCCTGTTGTGCTTATGATAATCCTTTCATTATCGAAAGAAATCCTTTGATAATCTAAAGAAATCCAGACCATTTGATCCGAAAAAAAAGTTACAAATATTTCCTATGACAGAATATTGGGAAGTATCATGATATCAGTATAAGATGAATTTTTTTTCTACTTTTAGAAAATGAAGTAAAGAAGCTGTGAATATTTAAGAAGTTGATGTTAACTCTGTATGTGCATTTCCAGAAGACATATATGCTTTATTTATTTATTTATTTATTTTTGAGACAGTATTCCAGACTGGTTTGAATTTACTATGTAGCTCAGACTGGCCTCTAACTCAGAATCCTTCTGACTCAGTCACCTGAGTTCTGAGATTATAAGCATATGCTACCATTCCTGGCCTATATTTGCATACATAAAATGTATAATATACTGTGGACCTTTGACTTACGAACTCAATCCGTTCCCGAGGGCTATAACTCAAGTTTATTGTAAGTCAGTTCAGCTGAGATTTGGACATTTACCTGGGTATACGCTATAGATAACATGAGGTAGATGAATCTTCCATCAATCTAATTAGCCAAAGTTGTTTGTATGTTGGATCAGTCATAACTTGAGGGTCAAAAGTTGTTTGCATGTTGGACCATTCATAACTTGAGGGTCTTATATGTTGTAATCAGAAAATAGGATTTGTAATTTTTCAGTTAGCTTTCTCTCACTACCTGGAAACATACTGATTTAGAATAACTGATTTGTTCTTTGGGTATGTTGGATAGGTTACTCATGGTTGGCAGTTGGCTCAAAGTCAGGGAGTGTGAAGGATTCCCTCCCTGGTTATATGTTATTCATCATGAAGTAGAGGAGGCAAGTCTTGTCACAATAGTGGTGACACAGTTCCTAAGAGCAGTGGTTAGAGATGCCTCTGTGGGTAAAAGATTTTCAAACATCTGCTTATGTCACATCTACTAAAGCCTGGATAAAGCCTGGGGCCAGCCTAAGTCAATGAGGGAGGGCTCTACAAAGAGAGTATATACAGAAGGAGGGACAATTTACATCCACTTTTTTTTTTGTTTGCAGTCTACCGCTGTACTTTTTGCACATGCTGGATGAGAAATTGCTCTTTGTATGAAAATTATGCTTCCTTCTGTGTAATATTTCAGAAAACAGAGGTGACATCTCCATTTATCTTAAATTGGTGACATAATCTGGAACTTTTATGTCACATCAGGACCATTGACCTTGCTCCTATCATTAGTGGTACATGTGGAGCTTAGCTTTGGTTTGCAGCAGAACTTTTAGGGTCCAGTTCAAAGACAAAGTAAATCCTTTCACTCCTGGGCAGATGGAGAAGTTAAAGAGTTTCTCCTTAGGCAGAAAGCAGGAAATAGTGTGCAGTAGCGTCTAAAGGAAAAGGGGGAAATCCCCATATGACTATTGACTTATCTCTGTTTCTTATGTCTTTAAAATTCTATCTCATTGGAACTGAGTTATCAAAGCAGATCCTCAAAGCAAATCGTCCAGTACAGAAGTTGGGAAAGGCAACAGTTACCTCCTTGAGGAGCCAGACTTGAATTTCATGGGGAAGGTCAGGGGCCAGAGTGCAGAATTTAAAGATGTAAAGTCAGTTAACAGAACCAAGGGCTGTAAGAGAGGAAAGCTCCTCCTTGACACTATTAGGATCGCTGGATGGATCTGAAAATCAAAATGACAAAGGACATTTTAATGGGAGAAAAGTATACCAATTTTTTAATG